CGTGAACACGTGAACACATGAACAGTGACTCTACTCGCTGCCATAAACGCTGCTGCCTCCGTTTCCACAACCGTCCTCCACCAGTAAAGTCTGAAGTGGGAAAACTGGTGGTTTCATCTGCAGCCCGTCACACAGTAAAAGTTTAATCTGTTCACGGCGTCGCTGCAGCGTTTACGAGACGACGTTCAGGCAGCAGCAGCAGCAGGAGGAGCAGCAGGAGGAGGAGCTGTGGAGCCTCTAGCAGCAGCAGCAGAGGAGCTGCTCCATCAGTCGGGTCCGATCACAGCTCGCGGTGCTGCTCTGGACTCCTCTGACGGATTCAGCTGAACTCAGACATCTGAACACTCAACAGGTGAGTTCTGATCCGATAGCATTCATCCTGATCCACACGTGAACTGTGAAGCAGGACTTTAGCTCCAAAGTGTTACAGAAGAGCTGTTCAGGTCCACCTGGACCGCTCTGTGCACTAACTAGTTAACTAGTTAACTAGTTAACTAGTTAACTAACCTTCTTTAGCTTCCTTCAGTTTCCAGGAACTCGTCTGAGAACAAACGGAAACTAAACATCCGTCCTTCCTTCAGAACAGCTTCTTCATAAAACGAGTTAGAGCTGCCAGATGCTGTTTTAGAACAACTCTGAGCTCAGCAGCAGGTTCTGGTTGGTTCTAGTCGGTTCTGACTCACTGCAGTAGAAAGTCCTGCAGCTCTGTGGAACCAGAACACGAAGGAGGAGAGAGAACCCAGAGACGTTCTCTTTGTGTCACCAGGGTGTTGGTTCGACTCTGTTTCTGTCATTTTGTGTAATTTGTGTTACTGTTGCTCTTAACCAGCCGTTAACTAACCGTTAACCAGCTGTTAACTAACCGTTAACCAGCCGTTAACCAGCCGTTAACTAACCGTTAACCAGCCGGTGGACAGGAACCCCATGTTGTCGAGTTGCTGTGAGTCCGGTTGTGGTACCGTGTGTTTAAATGTCTGCGTATCCAGAGTTCATAAAAGAGAAGTTTGGTTCATACTGTGCAGCTGCAGCACTGAGCCCGGTCCAGTTAGTCAGAACCAGCCAACGGTAGAAGCCAGAGTCCAAACACTGGTGTTCTGCTGGTGCTGCTCTACAGCAGCCAGAACCGTGATCCTCTCCTGAAGCTCCCAGAACAGAACCAAAGAACCCAGACAGACATCCTGCCGAGCCTCTTTAGAGCAGAAAGCCTTCTCCTGGGGTCGAGTACGCCTCAGAACCGCTCCAGACCGTAGAATTAGAACCGTTCTGGTCCACAGCATGAACTTCATGAATCTTCTCCGGCGGTTCTGTTGAAACGTGCTCTGTTTTCATTCCAGTGTCTCCGGACAACAGAACCACTAAGTTCTCTGAAGAACCCTGAACACCTTCCTGGTTCTGGTCCATCCTGACGTCAGCCTCAGAACTGACCCAACTCTGACTCTGAGTCTCAGCAGTTTGGGTTTGAAAAGGTTCTGGCATCACAGCAGGGTCCAAACCAGCCCATTCTGGATTGGTACTGTTGCTTTCTGCAGCTGTCTCAGGGTTCGGTTCTGCCACCAAGATGCAGTCCACAGGAAAAGGTTCTGGTATCAGAGCTGGTTCTGGATTCTCCGCCGTGCTGCTGGTTCTCAGTTTGATGTGTGCCGGGCCGGTCGGCTGCCACAGGAACTTCACGACTGAGCTGTCTCTATCAGATCTGATGATGTCGGACCTGCCCGACCTGCTCAGCACCGACCTGCCTCCGGAACCGGAGATGGACCGTCGCAGCCAAAGCCCAAAGGCAGAGACGGACCTCCTGCAGGAGACTTTGAAGGAGGCGATGTTGAACAAACACTCAAACAAACCGAAGCACAAACCGGATCTCAAGGTTCCGTCACTCTCCTCCAACTGGACCCGGCCGGTTCTGGTCCGCCCGGTAGCGCCCCCCAGCTGCCTGCAGGCCACGTCCATCAAGACCTTCTTCAAGTACATCAACACGGTTCTGTCCTGCCTGATCTTCGCCGTGGGGATCGTCGGGAACGCCACACTGCTCCGGATCATCTGCCAGAACCGAACCATGAGGAACGGACCCAACGCCCTGATCGCCAGCCTGGCGCTGGGAGACCTGATCTACATCGCCATCGACATCCCCATCAACGTCTACAAGGTGCTCAATCAGCTGGAGCTTTGTTTACATCAGCTGGTTATATGGTGCATTGTGGGTAAAAACTGT